GGTGGTAGTGGTGGTGCTGCTGCTGCTGCTGCTGCTGCTGCTGCTGCTGCTGCTGCTGCTGCTGCTGCTGCTGCTGCTGCTGCTGCTGCTGCTGTCGCTGTCGTGGTTGTGGTTGTGGCTGAGGTTGTGGTTTTGACCGTGAATGTGGTTGTAAGCGGCATTAATGCTGCTGCGAGTGCAATAAGGACTGTGCTGCCCAAGATGACTCGGACGACCATTGCTAATTATGACCAGAACGGGCAGAAACAAACGGGTGATTGAACAGATGGCTGCGATGATGCAGCAATGTCAGATCACGAACTGGTGTTGATACAGGTGCTTTTCACGGAAGCATCATCGTAGATCGTCACAACTACCATGGCTGATGCCAATACAACACACAGCCCTTTGTCTTAATACCAGTCTACAACAGGCTGCCTGGTGTGGACGGTAATTGAGCATGCTAGAGTCTGGTGTTGCAAATCGTACGACCGAAGAGCAAGACTGAAGTGAATCAGGCCACTCACTAAACAAAGGAAGACACCTCAACTTCTAAGAAGCTTGTTCAAAAATGCAACAAAAAACTGGCTTGGGGTCTGGAAGACTAAACCCTCAAATTTCCAGACCCTGTCACCCCAAGAAGCCCTAACAACACCCTATCTGGGTTGTGGTTTTGGGCCTAAAAAGTCTTTATGCATAGGCACCTTATAGGAACCAGCAGGGAAATTTCAGAGCTGTTCAAACCCTGACCGCATCCCCCAAAAAAACCGTCGGTTTAAATCAATGTGGGGGTTTCCAAAAATAGGGGACCCTAATATAGTACCCTAAACAGAAGGATCCTTATTATAAGGACCCCCAAAATAAGGTACCCCTATTTTCGGAAACTCCCATGTTTTGCCACTCAGAACCAAGGCTCCGCGGTATTGCCGACCGGTCTCCAAGGACACAAGCTTGAGCACCTCTTTTGGTGTAGGTTAGGGTTTAGGGTTTAAGGTTTAGGGTTTAGGGTTTAGGGTTTAGGCTTCAGGGTTTAGGGTTCAGGGGCCTGGGCACCTCCGTTGCTGGCGCCCTTAAGGAGGGTCCGGCACGGTTTCGGGGTTGAGGCCATGGAGCTTTGGACTCGGGGTCTAGGGTTAAGGGTTTGGGTATAGGGTCTAGGTTTAGGGTTTAGGCTTAGGGTTCAGCAGCTCCGGAGCGAGCACTTTCTGGTCGAGCTGGCAATTTCGGATGTAGAAAAAAACCCACCCGCCCAAAGAATCCCATATCATTAGCAAAATATAAGGATCCATTATTCAATTTCACATCCTAACGTGTAAAAGTCTAGAAACTCTACAATACGCTATGCTATATCCATGTACAGCTACACCCTAACGAACTCCAAACGACCGAAACCGTGTTCAAAGTTCCTCTCATCATCATTCAACGAAGTTCTGCCTACAACTTAGCTTCACACACTTTTAAATCAAAAGCCAACCCGCAGCCTAGAACCCTAAATCCTAAAGCCAACCCACAGCCGGACGTTGTTGTTGTTTGTTGTTCTTTGTTGTTGTGGTTGTTCTTGTTCTTCAACAAGAAGTCGTCCCAGGGAAAAGACAGTTCAAACAGAGCACGTATCAGCGGCCTAAAGTGGGGGGCCCCGCAGAAGCAGACTAGGCTTCTGGGAGGCCTTATGCTAATACACTCAGGAATCCTACTTCTAACTAGCCCGGTCCTCCACTGAGATGAAAGGCATCTAAACGGCATGGTTTCGGGTGTAAGGTGTCCGGGTTCGCGCTTCGGGTTCGGAGCCCTGAACCTAAAAGGCCTTCAACCCCTGAACCCCTAAACCCTAAACCCTAAATAAACCCTAAACTCCAAACCCCTAAACCCTAAACCCTAAATAAACCCTAAACCCTAAATAAACCCTGAACCCTAAATGAACCCTAAACCCAAGCCCTAAATCCATGTACTGTCCGAGCAACCGGATCAGAGTTATCCGCTGCTGCTGGCACATTTGTCTCCAGCTGATTACCTGAGGTTTAGGGTTCAGGGCTGTAGCTTT